GCGCGCGCAGAGGAAGTTGAGGGCGCGCGGGAATGGATTTTCGCGCCAAATCCACGGCGGCGGTGCCGTAACGAAATAGACCATGGGTTGTATGTCCTGTCTTTTTACCTGTCTGTACGATAGATTCAAGGCGTTTACAGACGACCTCCGTCCGTGGGTTGAACATGCCCTTAGGAACGGAGGAAGTACTACATTACACTTGATTACTTTTGGTGACTTAGAAGAAGAAGCAGGTCGGTCCGCCTGTCTGGGTCCATCGACGACCGTGCGTTTCCATTGTACTCCTAGTCCAAACTTGATCCGTCCCCACTGACTGCCCAGCAGTGGGCGTGGAGCAGCTAGCAGAGCCGCCGCAGGCCGTGTGGGCTCACGAACGAACTGTACTACGTAGTACGCGTCATTGAACCTTTCAGCGAAGGATCGTCGGAAACAAAGAAGAACGAATCGAAGGCCCAGTAAGTGTACGTGGAGTAGGTCGTTCAAGCGGTGGCCGTTGGGTGATTATTGGAACTTGTCGAGGCTTGGGAAATTAAAGCCTCCATTTGTGACGGTGTTAAAGAGAGAATACTCCTTTTTTTTTCCTATTTCAGTTTTTTTTAGGAAGTCCTTTTTTTTTTCATCTGCAACTGCAACTAAACTAGCGTGGATGCATGCATGCATGCAAATCAAAACAATAGACCGTGTTTAATCCGTGTTATATTAGGGAGGGGCAAAAGGTTAGACCCTTATCGTTCATATCAAGCCCTGTCTCTATCGGTCTTCGTTCCTTTACCTGCCTCAGCTTTTGATTATGGGCTTTTCTACTGCATGCGTGCGCAGGATTTAGACTCCCAGCGGCACACCACTCTAGCACAGCAGATTTGAGTTAAAAAAAAACTCAGCAGCCTCTTCACCGACTCCGGCGCCCTCGCCCCCACCCCTCCAGCAAACCCTAGCACCCGCGGCGGCCGCCCTCTTCCCCTCCCCCCACCGCTGCCATCTTCTCCAGCTCCGGCGAGCCTCCCCCGCCACGACCTTGCCCGGCCGCCTCTCCCGCCGCCAGCTCCCCTAAACCGCCCGCCAACCATCCCCACCGCCTGCCCTACTTACCTCCCCACGGTCGGCCAATCTATACCCTACCGGAGTTGGAGAAGAAGGGAGTGCTCGCTGGAACCCTAGCCCGATCCAGGAGGAGAGAGGAGAGGGGAGAGAGAGGAGGAGGAGGAGGAAGAGGAGGCCTACCTAGCCCAGCCGCCGCTGCCGGATCCGCCATGGCCGCGCGCATGGGAGGCGGTGGGGCGCAGGCGCAGACACGAGGAGGCGGTGGGACGTGGGCGCGGGCTGCCAGAGCTCGTTAGGCACCGATCCGTCGGGTCCCACCATGGTCGTCCGGAGGAGAGAGAGAGAGACGGGGCCACAGGGGTACAGGACGAGTGGGTGCGGGGCTGCGGGAGGCGTGCGGGCGTTATCCCCACCGACTTCGTGTTCTCTTATTAGCATTTTCCTTTGATTATTTCCAGCTTTCTTTTCTCCATCGTCCTTTTGACATTTCGAGGCCGACGACGAAACAGTTGAGATGATGATGCTGCGTCTGCGTGCGTGCATGAAGCGTGTGAATCCAAACCGAACCATAAGCCGACAATCAGCCCCTACTCCTACAGTCCCACCTACTGTTATCGTTCGTCAGTGCGTGACCGACTCATCATGAGTCTGACCACCACCCTTGCAGTCTCCCTCAGTCAAAACGTCCGTCAGTGCGTCGATCGAGGAGCCTGCCTGCCTTTTGCGACCCAACAATCTCATGGCTCGGACTTTTCATCATAATATTTTATCGCTAGCAAACGAGATCGACGGAGGAAACGAACTCCCGGATCGGGGAGGAGCTTTGTAAGAGGAGATGCATGGGGAAAAGCGACACGCCGGTCGTCTTTATATACGGCCATGTGTGTGTACGAGTGCGACGCTGGCGCTAGCTGCGACTGCATGGGGGCCATGCATGCGACCCACGCACGGGCAGTGCCTGTCCTCGTTTCTGATTTCAGCTGCATCGCAGGTATTCGCACCTATAGCTAGCCAATCAACGGCTCCATCATTGTTGTGGCGCCATGTGGATTTTATTTCAATCGGTCCAGAAGCTGTTGATCTACCGGCGGTGCGAGCGACACAATCATGCACGCCCGGAGTCTCCAAACTTTCTTTGAAATGTTGGACACTACTCGTATAGATCGATTGCAGGGTTTCAATGAAATCGGGTTATTAATGGGAGAGGCCGGTCTCAATAAGATCTTTTCTCTTTTTGAAGATAACCGTTACATTCATCGTAGCAACCTAGAACCCTACAGTACTTACTGCTGACGCCCGCGAGCGACAAGCGTTTGTCTTATTTTTGTTTCTTGCCCAGGCACCTTTGACGTACCAATTAAGCGTCGCTCTCTTTTTGAAGATAACCGTTACATTCATCGTAGCAGCCTAGAACCCTACAGTACTTACTGCTGACGCCCGAGAGCGACAAGCGTTTGTCTTATTTTTGTTTCTTGCCCAGGCACCTTTTACGTACCAATTAAGCGTCGCTTTCGATCACAAGCAACAATTCAGCTTGTCTTCAATTTGGCTTGTTCAGCTTATTTTTTCAGCCGGAACGGTGTTTTTCTCTCACAATAATTCAGCCGGAACAGTGTTTTTCAGCCAGTTTCAGCCAAAGTTCAGACCAGCGAACGGGGCCAAAGCTACGTGTACCTACGTCGTGTGTGCTATGCTGCTAGCTAGCGAGTAGCGACCTGTTCCACATGTCGACGATTGCTATGTTTGTGTTTTCACCACACCTTCCTCCACATGCTTAGTGCCAACATATCTCTCCTCGCTTTCATCCCCGTCCGTTTTTCTCCAAACTCTTGACATTTGTAGTGGTGGCGGTGTCTCGTCTCAGGGCCTATTTCACAGGAACTAAGTTTTATTCCTAATAGCCCTGTTCGCTTGGAGGAATCTGGAGGAATTTGTGAGAGCATGAACAGTGAAAACCATCCGTGCACAGTGAAAACCGGCTGGTTTTCACACCATCCGAACGGCCCCAATATAATTAAAATTACATCAGCAACTCAGGGCCTATTTCGAACATATAAATTTCACAGGAATTATGCAGAAATTTCACAGGAAGTTATTCAGGAACAGGGAAAAATTCATGCATTCCAAACGGGGCCTTAGTGATGGAAATATTTATTTTTTAGGAAAAGATTAGGAGTTCAAAGACCCATAATACTATATTTATTATTTTCTATTTTCTTTATATAAGAAAAAAACAGGAGATAAAAAAGAAGCAACAAAAAAAATCAGAACTAAACATGGGAAAGTGGAAGCGGAAAAAGAAGAAGAAAAAAGGAACTCGACAATGCACACGGAAGGGAACGTCTTCACGGAAGAAAAAACAGATGCGGGGACTTTGCGAGATAAAGGACACGGACGGGAACGTCCCACAGGAAAAAAACTAGACATGGGACTTCATGAGCGGGTGGCCGAGACGGAATCGGTGATTAGGCTGGACGAAAAAATTAGTGGAAGAATTTTTGGCTATTTAGTATTAGACATAGATATACAAATGGTGAACCAATTAATTTGTTGGACTAAAAGAGGCCGTCACATTCAAGCAACCTAGCCTCCGTCCGTGGGGACATCCAGACGATAGTTTTATAACCAGAAGCAATGGTGATAGAAGGATCCAACAATGGTGAATCAATAATTATGAAGGTTAGGTGGATCCAGCGGTCAAAGAACATTGTCGGGTCATCATAAAACCCGACAGTGATATGAAAATATCACTTCCAGCTCGTGGTTTGACCTGGCAATGATATATCAATGTTGGTTCATAGCCTTAGCCGACAGTGATATATATGATACCTATCACTACATGTTTGTGGCATGACCCGGCAGTGATATTTCACCTCTGGGTGGTGGTTTGAGCTAGCAGTGATAGGTGACTTCACGGCCGGGCGAATACTGCTTCCCATAAATTTTCTGGATCCTAGGCTTACGAACCACCGGTGATAAGCAATCACCACCGGCTCCAGCACGATTGGAAATGACGCTCTGACAGTGATTGCTTGTTCTAGCATAGTATTTTATCACAAAAACGCACCCTAACCATAGTCTGTCTTTGGTATTTGTGAAGAATGGTATTTTCACAAGTTGACTAATTATTTTGTGACATACATTTGGTGTCATAAAAGGGTCAGAAAATTTTCAATATAAGTTGTGTAGAATGTGCACACATTTTTTGATGACTTTGTGGGAAAACTTCACAAGGTACATGTGGTGATGGTTTATATGTGATGACATATTGACATGTATGACACTATTTTTGGTCTCAATATATACTTTACGACAAAAAGTGGGCCCAGCCCGAGATTTTTTACTTGTATATTGACTGCTCAATCGACAGTGAATGGGGGACTGCTCCAGATACATGTATTTAATAGCGTCTAAGAGGATATTCGTGTAATATAGTAGCTACCATAAATGTAAGGCAACACATTAGTTTGAATACTCAAGTATTTATTGTAGCAGAATAAGATAGTTTATGATATCAGAACACTAGTGCAAGATATCTAGTAGATCACATAAATCTTATTATGATACATTTTTAAATGAGGATGGTTGGTCTCAATAGTGACTGCTAATCGACAGCATGGATGGGGGACTGCTCCAGATACTTGTATTTAATAGCGTCTAAGAAGATATTATAGTAGCTAAAATAAATGTAAGGAATCCAATTTTTGTATGGGATTAGTATGGATATATACTCAAGTATTTATTGTAGTGTAATAAGATAGTTTAAGATATCAGAACACTAGTGCAAGATATCTAGTACGTAGATCACATAAATCTGATTAAGATACATATGTTAAATGAGGATAGATGGTTGTGCTTCCCTATAAATACCAATACAGTAGCTAGATACATAATACAAACATAAGAAATCTTCTCCTAGCTTGTCACAGAAAGAGGAGAGTAGCAAGATTCTCTTCTTCATGGCACTACTCAAGATCTCTACGACAAGGATTGTGTACCTGTGGGCTGCATTGTTCTTGGTTCTTGGGATCATGTCTGCTACGTTCCCCTCCTGCCGAGCTGCTAGCCTTTCAGGTAAACCATAGTTTTACGTATACTTCATTTACAATGATATCTAAACATTAATTAGTGTCCCAGTAAATTTCATGCAATTAACGTGTTAGATATGTAGGCTTCAAGTGCTGCAGGAGGAAGTCTCTGATACTCTCTGGTTTGATGTCTGTTATGTTGGATATGTAGGCTTCAATTGCTGCCAGGAAAATAAAGCGCCGCCGCCACTAGCAGAGATTGACTGCAGGCAGTACGCAAATTGCAAACCTTATGGATGCTTGCTTGCTTGTCGAGGAAGGGGCTACACTGGTATTGGCTCCCACTGCATAATAAACAAGAAAAACTTTTTCAAGGACCAATGCTGCTGCGACAAAGATCCGATACCACCACTAGTGTAGGCTCTGTAAAATGTGACTTTTGTGGTACCAAGAACATGCCAGCAAAATAAAAGGTGTTCTTATTAGCCTGAACATTTGTGTTAACACTTTGATGTGCCCGACAAGCAGGCCCCCCTACCCATATCGTAGCAGTGGAACCCCCATGAATTTTTAGGCATAGTTCTATAGTGTATATAGGGGGTGTTTGAGGCTTAAGATCGAACAACAGTGTTGTTTAACCCCTCTGAAATATTTTCTGGGTCCGTTGCTGCCGACAAGGAGCATGTACCCACCATGCACCTTCAACAACTGTCAGCGTCCAAAACGATAGAATATATCTCTCAATCCTCACAGATGGAAAACGAACACAAGATTTTCCAGGTTCCAGCCGCCAGTGAGGGTAACAACCCTACTTCTTTCTTTGTATTCGTTATAGCTAGAAACTTCAATCATCCACCTACTCTGGACCCTAGCTTCTCCTTTTATAATTGGAGGAAGGAAGGAGGACACCCGAGAGGACAGATCGTAAATTTACTATGTTGTTCTGCTGTTGCTATTATCGTGAAAATGAATGGGATTGGAAATCAATACAGGATTAGAGGTATTGCGGAAATGAACTAATACGACCAGAAACATGTTGAAAATGGTCAGGAATCGGGAACAAAAAATGGGAACACTATTCCGCTAGCATACAAATAGAATACTAGCACTGTAGAGGTGGCTATAGTAACTGTCTCTATACACATGTATCTGAAAATTAACATATCTAGAGGAAGGTATCCACCCATCTCTATATAAATTTCTAGCAACGTTCAGAAATTCACCGGCCTCTAAAAGGTTATTAAATAAAAAGGGAACCACACACACCAGTTTTTGCACCCTTGCCCGTCTCTAGGCTAGCTAGGTTGCTATGCCGTTGAGCCACCACAAGGGCGGCTGGCGTCGAAGAACCACCACGTCGTCCCCGCCCGCGTTGGGACCTAGGGGCTAGGGCCACCTTACCCTCCATGCTAGCTAGGCCCTCCATGCCTCGCTGCGCCCACCTGCATCAAGGGTCGGGGCTGTCTGTAACAGGCCTGGTGTTACGATTTTGTTTAGCATCAAGATTTAGACCTAAGAAGATTTACCGAAACGATTTTCTCGGATTTTTAAAATTTAAGTTATGTTAAAAGTGTCAATTTTGACGAATTATATTGAACAACAGTTTAATTAGTTCCTAGATGTTTTATTTTTACGAGTTAGTATGATGTCTGGACTAGTGCTTAAAAATACCTGATGACAAATAAATAGCGAATGACTTGTTTATTTGATTGAGCATGAAAATAATTTTTATAAACAAAAATAAAATATAACTTGTATTTAGAACTTAAATAAAATTTTGAAGTGCAAGTTAGTAGTTAAAAATGCAACTGTTGGTTTGGTGAATGGATGTTGTTCCATGGTATTTTTGATAGCTCAAAAATCGAATTTAAAATTTAAAATTTAAAAAACCAGCTTTTCGCGTCAACGGTAAAAATCAGAAATTATATTTTAAAGCGCTGTTTGTGACGATTTGTTTGTGCAAAATAATTACATAACACTCTAACATTTTGTTCCATGGCTTGGTATCGAGTATGAGCTATCGCGTGAAATGTTTATGGGTTGAAGTCAATAGGATTTAGATCTTTTTAAGTTGTCGACATAGTGTCGCTGTTCACATCCGCGTCACGTCGGCGCGTAGCCTGCAAAGCCAGCGACGCCCATGTGTACGGCTGCAGCGTGCTCCTTCGCGTTCGTGCTCTGGCGCGCGTTATTGAGGTGAAGCTGTGCCGCTGCTGCTTCGCGCGCATGTTGTCGTTCTAGGCCGTGGTCGTGTCGGTGGCCTGGCTACAGCGAGGATGGGATGTCTCCCTGCCCTGGTCTGCCGCTAGCCGACGCCGGCGACCCTGCTTGGCCCCCGCTGCTTCGGTTCAATGCATCGCGCAGTCCTTCCCTACTTGTTTGTCGGCCGCGCCACGTGCTCATGGTCGCTGCCAGTCGGACTGTTCCGCCTTTAACCACCGAGTTCGCTCCTGTGTCGTCACCACCGATGCACCATGCGCAGAGTCACCCTTCTTCCCCTCTCCTACTCTCCAGCTCCTGCTCGCCCTCCCCGCTCGCTCGCTCTCTCAGTCTCTCTGCTTGCCTCCTGGATTGCGCCGCCGTCGCCTAGCTCCTCGCGTGCTCTCCCGAGCCTGCAGTGGCCACACCCCCACCGTCGTCCGCCTGGCCCGCCCTGCTGTTGTTGCTGCCGTGGGGCTCCGCCTACACGGCACCGGCCCAGCCGAGTGCGCGCCTTGTCCGCCAGTGCCGGCTGTCCCCCGTGCAGGCGCACGACCCCCACAGCCCGTTCTGGACCGCTGCTTGTGCCCGCAATGCTGCCCTTCCTTTGTCCTCCACGCGTCGCGCGCCCTTGCCCGCAGAGCCCCCGTCGCTGAGCCGCTTCACCACCACCGCCGTCGCCCCATGGCCGCATGCGTGTGTGCCGTGGGCCGCCTCGGGTCGTGTCGTCGATGACCGCGTGCACGACCGGGTCCGCTGTGCAGCCCCCCGCCGTCGACTGCGCCAATGCCGCCCACGCGTGCGGGCCGGACCCGCCGATTTGCGCTGCCGTGATGTGTGCGCGTGGCCATCGTGCTGTGCCCCGCCTCGGTCCGCGCCGTGGCCAGGCCCTGGTCCGGTCATGGTCCGCGTACCTCCCCGCAATAGCACCGCCGTCGACGAGCCACCCCATCGGCCGACGGAGTACGTCACCTGCCGATGCTCTGTTTTAAGGTAGAAAAGGACTTGAACGCAAATAGAAATTTTTACTGTGTGCACTTTGCGTAAATGCTAGACTCATAGATTTGCAAATAGGGGCTTAGTTAATTTTGGGGAAACCCAGGGGCCTTTTCACAAATGTGTCGTCGCCGCCTACCCGCGCTGGGCCGGCCTGTCGCTGCCTGCGCCTAGGCTGCCCACGTCCGCGCCGCTTGGGCCGTGTTCGCCCCGTCTAGGCCGGACTGGTGTCGCCCACGTTGGGCCAGCCTACCGCCGCCCATGCCTGGGCCGCTCGCTGTGCGCCTACGGGCCGAGCCAGCTCGCCGCCCGTGGGCCGCGCTCGAGCCGCGCTTGCCGTGGGCCATTTGGGCCGCGGTGTCCTTTTCTTTTTCAAATGAATTAGTGAAGATTTCCTAAAATAAATTCTACACTGATTTTGTTATTTAAATATAAAATCATTTAGGAGTCCAAAAGTTGTGGAACAAATTTTGTTGAGTTCCTAAAATCATAATATATCTATTAGAGTATTTTGTTCATCTAGTTGGTGCTATTTTTAGGGTGGCTCTAATTGTTTTAAATACTTAATATCGTTAAGACATAAACTTGTAGAAATTTTCATGATAAATCGGTGATAGTGCTGACTCTAAAAAATTTACAGTAAATTACTAATATTATTAGCTGCTCACTGTAATTTTTGTAGCTCCAGAATAATTAGATTGCTAGATAGATAATGATGTCCTATTTCGAATAAAGAAACAACTTGGGTTTGTATATTAAACACTTGTTGGGAAATGACACCTTTCCCGACGATGTTGATACGTAGATTAGTACATTAGTCCTTAGATCTAGCTTGCTAGTTCGTAGTATGTACTCGGTTTTAAGAGTTGTTGTTGCCTGGTTAATTAACTGTTGCAACATCTTTGTATCGCATTGCATACCATAATAGGGACCATGATGGATAGGGGAGTCATATGGAGTATCGGAAAGATGGTGTCTCGATGAACGTGTCACCAAGATGGAATGCTAACTTTTGATTAAATTTTACCCAGACAAGCCCCGGTGCCTAACCCCTACTTTTCTGCATTTTAAATTATATTTGTGCATTAAGTTTTAAGGAGTTGAATGAAACCCACTTGTATATATATCTCTTTATCCTATAAGTCTTACTAGTATGACAGGATCATGTAGATTGCAATGCTACAGGACTCAGTAGAAGTCGAGTGATTGCCTGTCACTCGCGAGAGATAGGAAATATATTACTGTATTATTATCACTTGGAATATATAAAATGGTGGAAAGGAAAATAGAGACCGGGCAGGGATATGGTTTGGGTATTGGTGGGTGTAAGAGGTTGTGTGCTACGACCAACGGGGCATAGCTTGGTTACACTGTTTTCCTTGTCTGTGTCGGTTAAGGACTTGTTACTCTATTGTCATGGGTTCCCGATCACATACTTGGGTATGGGCGTAGGGAAGACTTGTTACTCTATTGTCATGGGTTCCGGCTCTTTCCGACCGATTGTCAGGGTGGTTTTTGGGTGGAGGTCCTTGCACCGCACTGAGTCCGGGACTGAGGGGCGGGGGCTTCGAGTCCCAGTTTAGACGGGGACCTAGACCTCGTGATAGGAGGGTAGTGGGTTGGTCCTGCTTGTGCCTTGGGTACAAGCGGGGCGTGTGTTTTGTGCTACCCAGCTGGGCTCATTGATTCACGAATCGCCACCATGTCGGTATGACTTGTCTAAACTCTAGCACCGTAGTAAGAACTGAAAGATGAAAGATGGAAAAGGAAATCTGATTGCTTACCACCTGCTTGAAAGTAGCATAGGTACTTACATAGAATGGTTAGTTAATGAACTAATGTTGACTACAAATAAAATTGAATATAAGGACGCACGCTTAGTAATGTTTCCGCAGATGCAATAAACCCACAAGCCAGATAGCCTTGCATATCCTTGGAGTCTTTTCTTTTCTCCTGCCGGGTAAGTCTTGCTGAGTACAATTGAGTAGTCAGGGTTTTATTTCCCCCTATTGTAGGTGACAGCTGGATGCTAGAGATGACTCTTGTGTGTGGATTCCTCCTGGTGGGCTCAGAGGGGATTCCTTTACGCTGCGATCATAGTTTTTATTTATGACTCTCACCAAATGTTTTATTAAATGAAAGTTTTATAATCTATTGTCGTAGTTTATATATCAATATTTCATCACGTCATAAAGAGATGTTTAATTCCACTGTAACTCTGTTCA